TATATATATATATAGCTCTACATACATATATATATATAGCTACATTTCAAGGTGCTGGAAGGTCATGAAAGCCACATATTTTTACCTCTCTCATCTTTTTATCTCTTACCACCAACTATTAGAGATATTTGCTTGTGAATTTGCTATGAATATCTTCTGATTATGAACAAATTACTACAAAAGAGCAATTCGGAAACAGTTTCACGTTTCCTCATGCAGGGGAAAGACAACCCACTGCAACGCCTGCAAGATTACCATCTATGAATGTTGCTTCAAGATAGTCAATAATCTGCGTTGCCTCGCAAATAATATTTTCCCCATGGATTAGGACTGGTACTTCTCCAGATGAATTTAGACGCATAAACCAAGGTTCGTTGTGTTCACTCAGCGGCAGGTTTACATCATGCTCTTCACATTTTAGGGCTTTTTCAGCAATCACCAAGCGCACCTGGAAAGATATTAACGATATTACTTGATGGAAAACATTCTGTGGACAAATGCACATTGCACAAGGCAGGGGCTCAGGGGAGCGGGGTCCCCTCACGGCCCTGCTGCTCGCTTTGGGCGAACCGCTCCCCCCTTCATCTTTCCTGATCAGCCTCCACCAGGCATCCTTGTAACGTGGCCCTTTACATAGTGAGACGTCTGTAACACACATCTCTGTCGCCGCGGCAGGGTACCCGTGCGGAGGGCGCCCCGTTAGGGGCTGTGCGGCGCGGGCAGCAGCAGCATCCGCGCGGGGCCTGGCGGGCAGCTGCGATCGCGGCCGCCCGTGCTGATTTTCGGGCACTGCGCGCCCCAGGGAGGCACCAGGGCCCTCGGAAAGGCCCAGCCAGCAGCGAGCATCCCTCTGCCTTCCCTCCCGGGTGGAGAAAACGCCTCGCTGGCGCCCTCCTGCCTCCCGCCGCCAGCGCCTGGGCCCCGCCGCCCTCACCTTCTGCGAGGAGAAGGACTGAGTCCAGTGGTAGAGCACGAGGCGGCCCGGCGGCCCGCTGGCCAGCGCCATGCCCGCCGTCCGCCCCGCTGCTCCCCCGGAGCGCGAGGAAGCGCCGCGGAAGGAGCCTCCGCAGCCTCCCCAGGGCAGCAGGGGAAGATGGATGCGCAGGGAAGCAGATCACATGGCAGGGTGTGTGCTTTTTTTTTTTTTTTTTTTTTTAAGGATGGCTTTTTATTTTCCTGTGAACAAGTATTTGCACTGTGAGTTTTAAGGATACAGAGGTATCCTTAGGGGAGAATTGTAACGGTTACCAGAAAACACCCTGAATTGCCCCATTTCAGTATAAACAGCATTACCAGCTTGTAGAATGATAACCACAGCAGGCAGCACTAAAGATAAAGCTGTAAAAGCAGACACATCTGTTTTCCTCAGAATATGTTCTTTCAACCTCCAGAAAGCGCACCCTTGTTCTTATTTCTGTAGATGAAGTCTAGAAGCATTTTGCAATCTTGCGTTTTTTTTCTTTTTTCCTTTTCCCTAAATGAAGCAAGGTCCTTGAAAAGTACTTGGTAACAAAAATTAGCAACTTCCATAAGAAAATGCTTCCCATGTATCCTAGAATGGATATAGCTTAGAAGATGCGATTGCTGATAGCACAAGCCTCATCCATTAGGCACTATCTGCTGAATCAGACTAAAACCCATGGGAAGCTTACATAGCCCCTATCTCATCTATACCAACTGTTGTATCAACCATAAAGGTGACCCAAGATACCTCACCTGTACATACCACTTCTTTATGTGCTGGGTAGCCCACCATTAGTGGTCCCCACCATGGGGAGAATGCATGAAAGAAGACGTGGCCCTAACACATTGCAATCTGCAGTCCGGTGGTCTCTAACCTAGGTTGTTGTATGGTTCCTCAGAAGCGGATCCTGTAACATCTCAAGGCAAGGAACTGGATATTGGATAACATTCTCCCTCTCTGTCCCTCTCTCTCTCTTTTTTTTTTTTTTTTTAATTTGCATACACCAGAGACTGTATTTTAGGGTCTTTTTTTCTTTTTCTAATTTTGCATTGGAATCAGTATTTTATTTTGTAAGCTACCAGACCACTCTTTCATTTCAATTTTCTTTTTCAAATAATCTATTTAATATCAAACATAGATATTTGAGATCCAGTTATGTTCTGTTACCTATTTTAGATTATTGGAAGGGCAATTAAAGAGAATAAAATGGCTCCGTTTGAAAGGAACATGATGGACTTAAACTTATTCTGTAAGTCAGTGGAGAATGACTTAAATATATCTAATATCTTCCCGGTGAGGGTGAGGTATTAGCAGGAAAAAAATAATGTATGTGGAGGAATCTGAAGACTGTATTTCTGTTGACTATAACAGATGCAATTCATTTATTCCTGAAGTTCAAACAGCATCAGACTGCTGATTTAATGAGATCTAGATCAGATCCCATAGCAGCTTTTCAGATAAATTATGGAAATGAATATCTTGTATGGGAATTATTCATTCCTTAAGGTTTGTACATGTTCAAATATGTGCGTTAGAGATGAAAAGCAATTACTAGTACTTCATAATTTTATAGCCACACATGTCTACGAGCTGACATTTAGTTACATGCATCTAACTGTTGTACTGTTTTTCGAGATTAGGAGGAAATAAGCAATCACGGTGCTGGAAAATTTACTGTTGCTTCAGGTTCCTGTCTTCTGAACAATGTGGGAGAGTTAGCACATTTACTGTATCGAAGCGGTCTGCAATTAAGTACAAATTCCTTATTATGAAGTGAAAAGGCCCTATCTTATTAGCTAGCGAAAGGGTCAAGTGTCAGCCCATTTCCTGAGAAGAGAGTTCTGATTAATTTATAAGAATCAATGTAATAATAAATTCAGAAAAGTAAAGTATTTTTATTTGAACATTTAAAAATGTTTCTCCCTGTCTTCTCAAATTCAAAGCATTTTTAAATGGCTTATATCATGTAGTTATTAAATAATGCAGATATGTGATGTGTTATAACTTTAGCCTCCCATGGAACATCTATTGTGCTTTTGATTACCAGACATCTATAACATAGAATTTGAGCATTTTCATATGCCTTTCCATGGGAGAATCCATCTGAAAAATAAAAAAATAAAAAGCAAAGCAAAGCAAAATAAAATAAAATAAAATAAAATAAAATAAAATAAAATAAAATGTCTAGTCTTTTTATTGTTTTGGCCTACTTGAGAAAGAAAAGAATCCAAAAGAATATTTACATTCACGTCACTGGTATACACATGGTATACAGAAAAGAGGAACAGCAAGAACAGTGCTACCTGCTTCTGACTTGTTCAATGGTAACAGGGCATCTACTGGGGTATTTACCCGCTCTCACACAGCCTGGCCTCCACGCTGTTATGAAATGCCGCCAGCACGTCCATGCCCACCCTCCTCGCTTCGTGAGCAGCAGTTTGGCTCCCTGGACCACCAGGCAGAGGGAGGCTGGAAGGGGGGCAGGATCCTGGCACAGCAGCCCTTGGACCGGCCCATTACGGTCCAGTGTGGCCACACGCACCCTCGCCCGGACCCGGCAAAAAAAGCTGTTTTCATATCTGACCACGAGAGGACTCCCTTTTCTATAAATATGATATAAGGCCCAATCGTTCTCCAGGAGTGTCCCAAAGGAAATGTGGCTGAGGCTTTTCTTTCTGCAGAATTCACACTTACGCATATTCCTGTTTTCCTTAAGCCCCTCTATCTCCTAATGCGTGAAGAAGGCCAGCAGAAGCACCAGGTTAAGAAAAGCCTCAGATCACCTGAATCCAAATGTACTTACAGGGAGTTCTCCAGTATTTTACACCAGTGAAAGTTATTCTCTGTGAAAGTGCATTTTAATGTGTAGGTGGAATGAAAACAAAAATACAGATCTGCAAATCTAGCTGGCACTTTGGCACTCAGATCATGGATACTGTGGAATGAGTCACTTTTCTCACCATACTGATATTCTCGCCTTGTTTCTCTGTATGGCCCCTCTTAGGCCATTCTTTGGATCACCTTGTATGTTTTTATGAAATTTGTACACACCTATAAAAGATTTCTAATATGCAGACTTTTACCTCATGAAAAGAAAATTTCCTGATATTACTCTTACTTACATAAGCTGTACCAAAACTAACTTAATAAGCAGATGCATAAATTAGATCAAAGGTCTGAAAATTAGGATGCTGGTTTTGTTTTCTTCCTGACCTACCACTCACTCTATGATATTGTCAGGAAGCATCTAGGCCAGATATGTTTAAAAAGCGATTACTGCAAGTGAAAAACACTGACAGCTTTTTACTGTCAATTCTTTTTACTTATCAATTTACTTTTTACTTATCAATTCTTTCTGCATATTCAAAACCAAGTCTGTTTATGGGGGGGAGGGGGGGGGAAGTCTTTGACTGTTTTCTATGCAGCTAGCAGTGAAAATTAGCTGTATTCCACCCGTGCATCATTAGCAGAATTATTAGTTTAGTTCTAAGTGCTGACATGGCATAACTGACCGTGATGGAGGAGATAATGTTGCTTGGGAAAATAAGACAGATTCTATTCCAGACCTTCTGTCATCAGTAGTTACTGGCTGAATTCCCATTGCAAACTCTGTATTACTGGCGATGTCATATGAGTCAAAAAGATTATAGCATGGAGTTCATATACATAGGTGAGATTAAATATTGACATGATTAAATAATTTAATATGACTGATGAATTAGATGTGCAACTATTTAGGAATGAGACCACCAGTAAAGTTATGTATCAATGGTCACAATTCAGACTCTCTGTGCTCTTACGTAACTGCATTTAAAAGCATGGAGGAGCACTCACCTCAGTAATTCCAGAAGGCTACTATGTTTTTCTGAAGAAATATAATTACTGAGTTACCATTTTACACCCAACATATATTAATAGAACTTATATACTCACTTTCAAACTTACTTACCCCCACCACAGCAGGTTTTCTTCAGAGATTTTGCCGCAAAGTTCCGCCCTATTTTTCTAAATACCATAGTTCATCCTGTTTCATGTAGATGGAAACTCAGATATCGATACCTCAGAGCTCCTCCTTAGTAATGATTTTTCTTCATAAAATTACTCTTAGTAATTTTATAGTAAGCTTTCTTTAAAATAATTTCTAGGGATAACATGCATTCCTAGTTCTTGAGATATAATAAAAACATTAATCCTTCCAGTGTTTTAAAACCTTCAACTGTTTTAGTATTGGAATCTAATTTCTGGAAATACCAGACTTTTTGTCATGGAAATAAATTTAATACTTTTGCATGAGTTCGAAAAGGGCAGATTTTTAGCTATAGTCCTGAAAATGTAGAAATTCTCATTCCAGCTTTATCCAACCTATCACTCATCAAGCTTTTATACAAACAGCATCTTCAAATCAGGAAATCTAACATAGCAGCCAAATTCAAAAGATCTAAAATGTGTTTTTACCTACTTGCCAGTGTTTGCTGATTCTCTGTGCTGGCTAAGAAACTTGATGATTACTGAGATATCAGGAACAGTTCCACTTCACTTGCTCATCTTCAGTTACATTAACTTAAATGTGACGACTCATTTGAGTAACCATGATGACTCACACGAATAGAAATTTATCTTATGCCTGTACTTCTATAGGCAGCTACCAGGTGTTGATTTATCTACTGTTTTTTGATACTACAGTGATGACAATTTTTTGAGCAAAGCCAGCCATTGTGTTACACGCTTGTACAGCACTGTCCAGCTCATTTGGTTTTGGTTGCCATTAAAAAATTCAAGAAGCTACCACACCACAAATAATATATTTAAAAATAATATCTTCCAGTTTAGGGTCAGAAAAAGAGTATGCAACTTTCAGCCAATAAAATGGATTATTTGGATTCTGAAACTGAAGTCCACTAAGGTTAGTTAGACTTGTATTGACTTAAAATGGTCTTATGTTCAAATTCCACTGCAATTACACTGTGAAATATAAAGATCCGGTAGCCATGATGACAGTCAAACACAGAAAGATTTCAGAAAATTAGAGAGATTAAGTACAATTTTGTGAAATGTCATTT